GCAAAACTGTCGTTAAGCCGAGGACTACTTTTGATTGATTAATAATTCGTTCCTAAGTGAAACTGTCATGAGGACTACTTTGAATTGATTAATTTGTCCCTGAGCGAAACTGTCGTAAGTCAAGGACTACTTTCAATCAATTAATTTGTCCCTAAATGAAACTGTCATAAATCGAGGACTACTTTCAATCGATTAATTCGTCCTTAAGTGAAACTGCCGTAAGTTGAGGACTACTTCGAATCGATTAATAATTTGTCCCTAAGTGAAACTGTCCTACGTGGAGAACTACTTTCAATCGATTAATTCGTCCCTAAATGAAACCGTCATAAATCGAGGACTACTTTTAATCAATTAATAATTCGTCCCTAAGTGAAACCGTCATAAATCGATGACTACTTTGAATCGATTAATAATTCGTCCCTAAGCGAAACCGTCATAGGTCGAGGACTACTTTCCATCGATTAATTCGTCCTTATGAAACGAAACTGTCAGAAAGCGAGGACTACTTTCAATCGATTAATAATTCATCCCTAAGGGAAAGTGTCGTAACTTGAGGACTATCTGCCATCCATTAATTCGTCCCTAAATGGAACTGTCACAAGTCGAGGACTATTTTTTATTCATCCCTATTAAATAAAACTGTCGTAAGTCGAGGACTACTTTCAATCGATTAATAATTCGTCCCTAAGCGAAACCATCATAAATCGAGGACTACTTTGAATCGATTAATTCGTCCCTAAATGAAACTGTCATAAATCGAGGACTACTTTCAATCGATTAATAATCCGTCCCTAAAGGAAACCGTCACAAGTCGAGGACTACTTTGAATCGATGCCTTCCTCCCTATGAAACGAAACTGTCGTAAGCCGAGGACTGCCCGCCGCCCTCCCTCAATGAAGGACGGCCAGCTGCGTCCGGGGACATCGTTTCTAATCCTGCCCCAAAAGCTGCACCTGCCGGAGTGAGCGGCTCCTCCCGCCGCCGCTGGGCCGGGGAATGGGGGGGGGGGGGGGGGGGCGGGGGGGGCGGGGGGGGGGGGGGGGGGGGGGGGGGGGGGGGGAGCGCGCGGCGTGCACGCGGGGGGGGTGCGTGCGTGAGAGCGAGCGAGCGAGCGCGCGTGTGCGGACGGGGAGGGAGGGAGGCAGGCGCGAGCGAGCGAGCGAGCGGGCGAAGGAGGGAGGGAAGGAGGGAGGGAGAGGCGGAGGGCTGAATTGATTATTCCATTGTGTTGCGAGGCAGCCGCCAGGTCCGCGGAGCGAGGGATCGAGGCAGGCTGGGAGGCGGACGAGTGTAAATCAATGGGGAAGCCCCGGCGCGGCGAACCCCATCGATTTTTGCCTGCCT